TGGCGTCCTCTACCCCAGCAGCGTCCTTGCTCCTAGTAGTAAGGCCACTAGTAGAGTCATGACTATCAATTTCAAGATGTTCCATGATTCCTCGGACTCTCTGACTCCTTTTTCTTGTGAGTCTCGGGCATGTATGTCACTGACTGGGAGAAATTCCTGGCCTGCTGAGCTGGAACTGCCCAGGCTGGCTACGCTGAGGTTTGAGTTTGACAAGTCCTGGGAGCACTGCAGCACACCAAGATATGCCCAAACTGACCAACGCCGCGGAGCGCAGTGTTTATGGCTAGCTATAGCTGCTAGCTTGTTGCATATGAAACGTCTGGCCCCTGGCCGCCCCTTTTCACCAAGCTATGCCAGGCGGCTAGTGGAAGTCCAGGCTGCGCTGGTTCCAAGCGAGCCTGGAGCTTCAGGATTGGCAGTTCTTTCAGCAAAGGTGCACAGCAAGCACGTGAGGACATCAGGCCTTGTCAGAACTTGCCGACGCGCCTGGATCGAATCAAGCAAGGGCTCATTCCACTGGGTCTTACGGTCTTATGTAATTAGGTGTCGTAACTTGCAGGATGGCACAGTAAAACCTTGAATGTTGCACACAACAACTGGCCATGATGGCAAACAAACGCAGTGCTTAAATACCACGAATGCCTACTACAGCTCCATTTGCGTCACCTCTTCTCACTCCGACTACTCAAGTGCATCAACATCTCCCACGTTTGCCCTTCGAAAGCTCGGCCAAGCCCTTCATGGCTAGGGGTGAACGGAAGAGAACGACGTCACGACGTCACCACGTCACGGCATCACATGAGGCAAAAAGATTAAGAGGTGATCCTAGTAGCGTCCGATCGCTCCTAGCAGTATGGCCAGGAGCCCCGATCGTCGCGTCCTTGCTCCTAGTAGTGATTCCCTTTGTTCCTAGTAGCTTCTTGTTACTAGAACAAGATTGATGAGATGGGAAGAGGTGAACTGATAGGTGACATGCCATGCTCGCGCCAATCAAACGAGGTCAGCAATGCAAGAGTTTCTTGAACAAATGAAACAAAACCAAAACAACGTGTGAGCACATCAGGTGTCACAAATGGGATGAGTGTCACGAATCATCCAACAGCCAGTTCTCAACAGCACTTGTGCCTGCCTCGAGCTGGCCATGCGGCTGGGTCGATGTGCACCTCGGACGTCCGGAGTCCGGGCAGACCTTCGGGGCGCGGAGTCCGGTGTCGATCGGTTTCCATCCGAGCTGCGTGGCGGACAGAGCCGGCCGCTCCGGCCGCTTGCTCTCGTTGCAAGTGGCTTTTCGCTTTGGCCACCTGGCAAGCCAGGCTGGGCTAGCCAGGCTCATCTGCTACGGAGCAA